CCCCATCAGGAGACCAGAACCTGGTTTAGTTCTGACTCTGGGCCCCATCAGGAGACCAGAACCTGGTTTAGTTCTGACTCTGGGCCCCATCAGGAGACCAGAACCTGGTTTAGTTCCATCAGGAGACCAGAACCTGGTTTAGTTCTGACTCTGGACCCCATCAGGAGACCAGAACCTGGTTTAGTTCTGACTCTGGGACCAGAACCTGGTTTAGTTCTGACTGTACTTCCATACTTCCTCCAGTTGAAACTTTAGTTTCGCAATGTTTGAATTCCCTAAAAAAAAAAACAAAGCCTTTTTATGTGCTTCTACAGAATTGTTTGCACATTTTATTGTGTTCTTAGTACTTCTGAGTTTTATTGGAGTCCTTGACGAGTAAATGGGAACAGCTGTGCTGCAGAATGAGAAACAGAACCACTTATCTGGAACCAGGACCAGGGGGTTCTGGGTCAGAGTCCCGGGGGAACCAGGACCAGAGGGTTCTGGGTTAGAGTCCTAAAGGGAACCAGGACCAGAGGGTTCTGGGTTGGAGTCCCGGGGGAACCAGGACCAGAGGGTTCTGGGTTTTAGTCCCGGGGGAACCGGGACCAGAGGGTTCTGGGTTGGAGTCCCGGGGGAACCAGGACCTTTCTGGGTGGTTCTGCATGTTCTCCTGTGTCTGTGGGTTCTCTCCGGGTTCCTGAGGGTCAGGATCAGTGTTTGCAAGATTAATTTCACTATTTTTAAATTAATGTCTATATTGCCATGAAGCAATTAGGATTTTCTTGCCTGGGTTCTTCCTATTGCTGACCTAATCAAGATGGCCGACTTGGATGTGGGCGGAGTTGGATATCCATCCTTGACTTCCTGCAGACTTGATTAATGTTGGCGTGTTATTATTAGCCATTAGCATCAGCTAGCAATTCAAGGCTAACATCACGTTAATGATCATAAACAACATAAATAAATAAATAAATAAATAAATAAATAAATAAATAAATAAATAAATGATGTTCTTGAGAGGATTTGGCTTAATGTTTTTCTCCTGGTTGCAGAGTTTCTGGTTTATTTGTTAGTTTGTGGAACCATTGTAGACCAAAATGGATCCCAGTCCTGTATATATTTTAATCACCCAAATCTCTACGCTGTGTTGTTTCCTTCTATATTTATTTGCTTTTTCTGTACTTTATGCACCTTTTCTTCCTTTTGAACTCTAACCGATGTGTGACCAGCAGTGGTGGAGAAAGTACTCATACAATGTACTTAAGTAAAAGTACAAATACACAGACAGAAATTTACTCAAGTAAAAGTCAAAGTACCACATTATTATTTTACTTAAGTAAAAGTAAGAAAGTACAAGCTTTTAAAACTACTTAAGTATTAAAAGTAAAAGTACGTGCCAACCATAATACCTAACGGCTTATATAATGTCATTAAGTGTACCTATCGTATTTAGTTTTAATAAATCAGTAATGTAGCATTTTAATGAGCAATGCTGCAGATAAAGCATGTTTTTATTGTGTTTACCCCCTGTGACAGTTTAGATTTAGATATTTTATGCAGGTCCTGGTACTGTGCTGCTCTTCTTGAGGGAGGGCCTAATGGTTATTATTATTATTATTATTATTATTATTATTATTTCCCGGACTGATTCTGCTCTCTCCATTGGATACTTTCAAACTAACGAACAAATCAAAAAACCGAAATGCGTCTTGGATGTAACGAGTAACGAAACGCTGTATAGAAATGTAGTGAAGTGGAAAGTACAGATACTTACTGTTAAATGTAGTGGAGTAAAAGTAGAAAGTATCCATTATTAAATCTACTTATGTAAAGTACAGATACACGGAAATTGTACTTAAGTACAGTAATGAAGTACTTGTACTTTGTTACTTCCCACCACTGGTGACCAGTGAATTTCTACACTGTGAGATCAATAAAATAAATTTGATCTTATCTTATCTTCCCCTCGATTCTCTTTCTGGTGCTCTTTGGGCGGTAATACTGTTTGTTTTTGGCCCTTAAACTAAAGCAGCTCCTGGTTTTTCATGTGGTGAACGGCTGTGGAAAACGTGCTGCAGATTAAAGCCACATTTCAGAAAGGAAAAGGAGAAAAAACCTGACGAGGGGAAACGATGACTCAGCAATTTTGATTCCAGCGTCCGTCTCCAAAGAAGCAGCTGAATACGGGTTTCCTTTCTAACCCTATAAAGCCAAATGTGTCAGATTTGATACGGTTTCTGAAGTCTTTTGGATCTGAGACTTTTTGCATCATTCAGTGGTAAAAGCTTTGCTAGAACCCACAAAAAATAAAGCTTTTCAATCAACATTCGTAACTGCATTAAAAAATTCTGTAATACTTGTGAACGGTGACACAAAAGTCTAGTTTTTACCAACTTTTCGGCTTTGACTAGCAGTAGCCGTAGCTGTGGTTCTAAGGAAAAGAAAACGTGTGCTTTAAATCAGAAATAAAGATCTGTAGATGTGGTAAAAAATAAAGAGAACATTCTTAACTTTTAAGATAATCTTAACCCTACAAAGCCAAATGTGTCATATCTGATCGGGTTTCTTTTGGATGTGAGACTTTCTGCATCATTCAGTGGTAAAAGCTTTGCTCAAACCCCTGTTGTACACATTCAGATATACCTGATAACAGCCAGTAGAAGACTACACCAACATAGATTTCTGACTTATTGCACGCTAATTTGATCAAAATCATTTCTGTTTTTTTTCTTCATATGTTGTTGAGGGGCCAAAGAAAGACTTCAGACTAAAAAAACCCAATATTCTTCCTATTTTTCTTGGATCAGGCTTTAAAGAGTTAAGGGTTACCAAGTAGGGCCCAACAGTTTTCTTTCTGAACTCATGTTGGGAAACAGAAGCCTCAGATGGGTTTTTGCTTTATTCTGCAAGCAGATTTTTAAACAATAGTGAAAATTCTGAGGAATTTGTAGAATTTAAGGGTACATCCTTCAACTAAGAGCCCAGAAATTCTCATTTTAAAGTCAACAATCTAATAAACCAACAAACCAAAGATGGAGGAAAGTTATTAGAAAACCTCATCCAGATGTTACCACCTTAAAAAAGCCCCGTCACAAAGATGTTTCCGGAAAAATAACAAGTCTGTTCGACGCTGTTGGGACTCTGATCAACGATTAGAGCTCTTTTAAGATAATTGGCTTTCAGATTTAAGTCCTTTACTTGTTTTTTTTAAAACAGGAAAA